CATATATATATATCTGTGTGTGGAACTGACTGCATCAAGACAAGCACCGACTGTGAGGTTAGAAAACCACAAAATGTTGCACAGTCTGCTAAACTACGAGCTGCTTCAAATTGTTGGAAAACAGGCCTTGAAGGCGAAAATCATCTTGTTTTGTATTTTATTAGAAGTCCATTGTCACCATTAGGTTCTGATTTGCATCCATAAATGTATGAAAATAGATTCCAACTTGGAACAATGAATGCACGCAGCATCTTCTCTTTATTGGAGATATGAAGAAATAATCCACGTGAAAATTTTTAACCTGACAGTTTCCGTCTTACCCGTTTCTTTTTTTATCTCTTCAGTCTGTAAATATTGGTTAATTATCTACAGAACATCAACGTTACAATCAGCATTGTCTTAAACCACAGCTGGAACCAAAAATATAATGGCTTTATGCTTTTTGGCTGCTTAGTTTTTTAATAGAAATATTTTCCATGTTTACAAGTGAACTTTACTACTTTTAAAAATAAATCTTTATTAACATTTCATTCAGCTAGCTTTAGCCATCATGACAAACATATATATTTTTGCTCACGCTTTCCGTAAAACAAAACTAATGATTTATTACCACTTTCAAAATTGGGACTTTAAAAAAAAGGATTGACAATAAAAAATCTTATTGTTAGCATTTAATTTGGCTAGTGTTATAGACTAATTATCTATCTGTGACACATGTTCAATGTTAATCTGTTTGTACAGATAACAGGACTCCGCAACGGACTGATCTCTCTTGTTTGATAAGACACTCTTTGAGTTGTGAGCCCTGTGATAGGCTGGAGAGTACATTGGGTGATCTGTGATTGGTTATAAGCACGTCATATGATGTTATCATGGTGTATATTATTGGCTGACGTGTCAGCGACGGGCCGATGGAGCTTCCTGATTGAGTCCTTTTTGCCTGTTGCTCAGAATTAAATCATTTATGGCGACCATACACGCAGACTTTTCTGGCATTATTCCAACGTGCTTCTGCCTTCATGTGACGACAGAAATTGGCGTTGTCGGCAGGATCACCCAAGCCTATAGCTTGAAAAACTAAGTTGTCAGTGTTTAAAATAAATACTGTAAATAAATTGATTTTATTGAAATAAATATTGCCACTTTTACAACGTAACTTACTTTTAAAATTAAGTTTCAATTTGATTTTATTGAGCTAGCTTTAGCAATCACTAGCATCTAGAATAATTAAACAGGAAGCAGTGGCTAAAAAGTAGTTTTTTTGCTCATGTCTTTATAAATCAAACAAGAGTTTAAGACCACTTTTAGTAAGCGAGTAAGTAAAGTTTTATTTATAAAGTGCCTTTCACAGAAATATATTCACAAGGTATTGTTCAATCATCAACAATGTAAAAATGGCGGAAAGATAAAAATGAAACAGAATAAAACATTAAACAACATAATGAAACATCAAATCAAAAATAAATTCTAAAATTGTAACTCAGACACACGGTTGAGGCAGAGCAGGACAAAAGATGAGTGTTGTGTTTGTAAGACTGTACAAATCATAATAAGAAAAATTGTTGAATAAAAAAGGGGGGATGAAATTTATGCTAAATATTCAATAAAACAAAAACACATTGTTGGCGAGCAGTCACTAAAGGGGTTGGCTGCCATTAATGGTGAATGGTTAGCTAAAAGCTTGAGTAAAAAAGCAGGTTTTTCCAGCGGGTTTTATTTTAACAGTTATCAGTCAGTTTTGGAGAAAAAAATCTTAGTGTTAGCATTTTTTCATTAGCTCTCTAATTGTAAGTCTCTAGTGAAACAAGAGTAATTTTTTTTACAAAGCTACAGTATAACCATAGTGTTTGTAATATAGCATTCTGTAAAATTGCTTTAACAAGCGTCTGCGTCACAAGACAAGTTTCAGGTTACTTAAAAAGCAGGAATGATATTTTAATATATTTTACTTATAGACTTTTTTTTAAAGGAAGAAAAATGTTTTATTTTCCCTTTTACAAAACGTCATATCCACTTTCTAAACATAGTCCTAAAYTGGATTAGCATTCAGTGCTAGCTTTATCCACCATGATCTTTGAGCTACACAAGGAAGTTTTTTCTTCATGAACTTTTTAAGGCGTAACTTTAAAAAACAAACTTTGTTTGTCCAGGTTTTTTTTATTGTGTCCAATCAAATGATAATATTCAGACACTTTGCTAACTTTGTAAAAGAGCTAAAACACAAAAGCAGGAGAGTGCAGGGTATCCAATTTAGATTTGTCATTTAATTAAAAAAACAATTTAAAAACTGGAAAAAGTCTAAAGTTTAAAACCCATCCTTGCTGATGAGTCACTAAATAAAGGAACAAAGCAGCTCCGCTCCTTTCCTTCTTCCTCCTCAGCTACTGGCAGGTGATGTTGTTGTGGCCCGAGGCGATCCTGAACAGCTTCTCGCCGTTCAAAACATTTCCCACCTGGGGCCAAAATCTGTGCTCGTAACGGAGCGCCACATGAATTATTCCTGTTCTCCGTCTCCTCAGAGAGACACGCTGAAATGTTCGGTTACAACAAATAAATGATCCAGAGCTCAACTTGTGATAAAGAACCTGAATGTTGACTCGTTCTGTAGACTCCAGACCTGTTGGAGTGTGAGCAGATTCATGACCTGAGATGAGAACTGTTACTGATTTGCATGAAGCAGATATGTTTTCCTGATGTCAAACTGAGCCTGTGAAAATTCTGTCTTCATAGTCAGAAATTACAGTAACATTATTATATTTTTAGTATTAAGTATTGTAATCTATAAAACAAGTCATACAAAAATCAAAAATTAAAACAAAAAACCAAACAAAACAAAAAAATACAATAAAATCACGAATGAAAAGGAGCAGAAAGAAGTATAAACTTTTAATATCTGCCCTACTCTACAAAAGAAAATCAACCATCAACTCAAAAGTTCACCGTCAGCATGACTTTTAACCCACACCAAACCCATCC